ACCCTTACTTTTGGCTCCCCGTTGGGTCTGAAAGTATAAACCAATCATGTTGGGTATCGGACGTCGTACGTCGGGTATCGGATCAAGTGTGAATCCTGGCATTAGGAAGTCGCTTTTGAAACGTGCCTCGATCCGCGCGCAACTTGAAATGGGTAGGCATTAATGACCGCCGTGTGTGCACACAATGAAATATTTATCGAGGCGCGAGCCCTTCGCGTGCGGAAGAGGCATCGCCGTGTCTGCCTTACGTCGCGTGTGTATATACATGTGCACGTAATGCGATATGGAAAAGTTTTGAATCTGGGATCCAGCTGCGCTAGATAAAATGCGATATCTTGCCCCGGGATACTCTCTCCAGCCGGGACGTAAGAAAAATAGGGGCGAAGGAAGAAGTTTCTATAAGCGAGTTGAGTTTTCAACCCGTTTTACCTTACGTACGAGAGCGGCGTCTGTTTTATCTTGCCTGCAGCTTTTATTGCTTATTAACTGCTTTTATGCGCACTCGTATCGCTTTATCGATTATGCCCATATCGCGGACGATGAATAATGCAGATATAAAACACACGGGATGTTTCAAAATTACTGAAAGTCCGTTCCGTCGGAAACTTGTGCGCGAGTAAAAATTTTATAAGATATAAAATTGAAATATATATGAGTCTCCCGATGTTGAAAATCCACTTCTATATCGAGGTAAACTTCAACGGGACGACGCGACGCGCGGCCGCGAAGAGCGGAGAAATTCCGAATTAGTGCGGGGGCCGCGATGCGCGCGCGTGCGAGAACCGATCGAACAATCAAATGTCAATTGTGTTTATCGCTTGATATTCTATTCGACACATGACAATCAAACCAATTCCCCCACATCTCCCGCGATATTTTTACTTCATTTTCCATCGATGGACTTTTCTCGATGCGTATCTGTCTGTCGAGGAGCCTTCAATAAACGTTCGCGCGTTATCAGCGTGGAGAAAGAACAGGTCTTCTATTTCTCAATCGAGAGAATGGCGATATCGATCACCGCTATTCCAACACAGGCTCTCTCGTCCCCTCCCCCTCCCCCGTCTATGTCCCAATACCAACATAGACGCGCGCGACACGGTCTTCGTTACTTCGCGGCGCTATCGATAAGGGAAGAGGGTGGCGGCCGTGCAAAGGGTAAACGTTTCACGTCGCGTGTCGCCGGGGCAAACACGCCGACCGAACCCCCCGGGCGACGCGTATTTTTTTTCATCGCACGCACCGTCGACTTTCATCTCGAATCCGTCTTTTTCATTTCGCGACTCATCTCCCCCTTTGTCCTGCGTCGCCCCTTCCGCCGCGCGTTGTCTCGCGCTATTTTTTTTTCTCCCCCCTCTTCTCTCTTTTTCATCTCTCGCCCGGCCGTTTCCCGTACTCTCGTCGAGATACTCTCGCGCGCACCCGTCGGCTCGTAAGAAAAATAGATGAATAGTGTCGTCCGGGGGGTGCCCTGCCCCGGGGACGCCGCGCGTGCGGGCGTTGAGCTATCTTACCTTGTCGCGCGCGAATTACGGCGCATTTTTAACTCCTCCGTTATTTATCGGACGGGCCGGCGAAACGGCGTGTCGTGTGTACACGCGCTCGTTGCGTATACACGCACGGGGCTGAATTTTTAATGGCGGCCGCGCCCGTCTCCGTGATTTCCGGCGCGCGTGCTATAATATGCACGATATGGCCGTTCGCGCGGAAGCAACGTCTCGGCGTGGAGGTATTTCGGAATTACGGGGGGAAAAATATATGCGGCGTTTATTCAGCCTTTCGCAGGGGAGCCTCGCTTACGCCGAGGGTGGGTGGGCTTCGGGGGAGCCGCCGCGCTGCCATTTATTTTCAGGCCGTAAGAAAATCAACGTCTGCCACGTGAACCCCGCTATTTATATCAAGTCAAGTTGCGTACAGCGTGTACAAGTGTGTCGCGTAATTACCTGAAATATCGCCGTCCTGAATAAGATAAAGAGGCCATTGTACGTTTACGCGAGCTGGCGGGTACAACGCCGCACCGCGCGCTAAGCTCTGATTCTGTTTCTCTCGGTCGCAGCAGACGCGGCGCAGCTTCCATCTCTGATGCAAACGCCGGGGAGACTCTTGACGTATCGCCGCCAGTACAGGCGTGAGTCCTCGTACTTAGGAAAAATACGTGAGAGATAATTAAACAACAGTTTGCACCAAGTGGAGAGTCGCGGTGTTTCGTTTCGTTGGCGCGCAGTGAAATCTTGCGACGCCGTGACGGATGACCGGTGTCCCCCGTGTTTTATTTCGTATCTTTCCCACCCGCCCTTCCACGTGTTACAGCTCGCAAAAATACCTACGGCGTAAAAATAACGCAGCTACAGTCTGCTGTAGCTCCATAATTAAATAGGCGATGTGGCTAATAATACAACCAGAAACAGACGGTTATCGTGATATAAGTAATGCAAACTCGACGGTATATAAGAGCGAGAAACTTACCGTACGAGAGGGATAGAGTGATATCGATTCAGCTATGATGTGCAATGGAACATTTTTAAATCGTATACGCGCGCACGCACGGTGCAATTGTCTATTTTTACCGTTCCTCGCGTAATGGGTATATATTTGCGCGGGAATACAAGCGTGCCCCGTAAAATTGTTCCCCGACGGACGTCGGGCGCTTATTTATCAAACAGCGATTTTTGTTGGGTGTCTGACAAACGGCATTTGCGTCGGTTATTGGGGAACC